AGCTCAGGGTAGGTAAGGCTTCATTTAGAATTTGATTTGAGGAAAGTTTGTCTAAAATAGCAAAAGGTTTTATTTATTTGTTTGTTTATGTTAATTCATAGATTTATTTAGCAGCATAGATTCACAGCAAAAATTGCAAAGAAAGTAGAGTTCCCCTATTCCCCATACCTAGTTTCCTATATTACTAACATCTTCTGTTAGTAGGGTTCATTTGTTACAATTAACAAATACAGATACAGTATATCCATTCATTTAATATATTTTTAACACCTGTCAGAACCAAGAGAATTCTAAGGAGACAGGAAGATTAAATATAATGTGGTATCCTAGATGAGGGTCCCGGAACAGAATAAGGGCATTTGGTAAAAAGTAAGGAAATGTAAATGAAGTTTAGACTTTAGTCAAAAGATTTTAAAATACATGATTGCATAGGATCATAGGTCTTTGTGAAACAATATTCAGTTATCCATTTAACCAAAATGATAAAGACCTCAAAGGCAAGTATAGAAATTGCATGGTTGTAAAAAAAAAAAAAAAAAAGCTAAAAAAACCATATCTCCTTTAATAGAGAAGACTGGGTTTTTTCTTAAGTAATCCAAGACCGGATCAAAACTACATAAAACATAGGAAATTATTTTCTTTTATACGTTCATTTTTGAGAGAGAGAAAGAGAGAGGCAGAGCATGAGCAGGGGAGGGGCAGAGAGAGAGGGAGCCAGAATCTGAAGCAGGCTCCAGGCTCTGAGCTGTCAGCACAGACCCCGACGCAGGGCTTGAACCCACGAACTATGAGATCATGACCTGAGTCGAAGTCAGACACTTCACCAACTGAGCTACCTAGGTGCCCTGAAATTATTTTGAGAAACCACAGTATCTTTGTTTTCTAGGTAGGTTACCTAAAAGGCAAAGAAAAACCTTTGACAATCCCATAAAGAACAGACTGAGAGTTCAAGAAACCATTATCCTTTATAACGGATGAGAAAAAATTAAATTTCCTTTTTACATAAGTTCACTTTGATAGATAGCTTATTTTTAAGCTGATTAAATAGAGCTCTTTTACAGATTAATTTTGGTAATATCTTCAGAAGTTAGAAAAGCATGTATACTTAACATATATCCATAGACATATATAAACATAAAAACAGACTCAGAGAATCAATAACTTAGCCTTTGATAAGTAAGCTTAGGGAGACGGTGGGAAGGTCTTTGGACAAGGCACCTTCTAGAGCATTCTGTGCCTTCCCCCCACCCCAGATTTTTTCCTTCAGTCTCTGCGGGTAGTGTTTTGGTTATCTCCTGGGGTGTGTATGAATCAAAGACATGATAAAATTCACAACTTTGACTTTACAGGGAAAGAATGTCAGTTATCTCCCAGGTTTGGGGGCAGTTGCTATTTATTTATTTATTTTAAAATGTTTCTTTCTTTATTTTTGCAAGAGAGAGAGCATGCACAAGCAGGGGAGGGGCAGAGAGAGAGAGGGAGAGAGAATCCCAAGCAGGCTCTGCACTGTCAGCACAGAGCCCGGCGTGGGGCTTGAACTCATGAACCTTGAGCTCATGACCTGAGCTGAAATCAGGAGTTGGATACTTAACCGACTGAGCCACCCAGGCACCCCACACCTGCTATTTAAAATTCTCCTTTGTATTCGGGGTGGGAAGGCATGGGGGCATCTCCATTTTTCTCTCCACCACAGTCTCCTCTTGATTCTGATCGCTTGCTCAAGGATTCCCCTCTCTGAGTCCTAATCAGGCTTTGTCATGAGCTCCCGAGTCTTAATCCACAGCCTTGTGCCTTCCTCACCTTGCAAAACGACACCCTACTGCCTCCGACAGACTGCCCTGCTCTTTCGCCTTGGCTGCCGGCCCTGAAGGCGGCAGAGTAGCAGACACCTGCACTCCCTTCTCAAACCTCAACTCTTCTTCCAGCTTTCCACCTGGACGCTCAGCCTACAGCTGGACATCAGGGTCCAGATGACACGGGCCGCGGTGGAGGCCAGCACACCGTGACAACCGTGCACTCGTTTCTCTGTGCATAGCCCCTCAAGCGAGCGCATTAAAGCGGCAGGTGTTTCCGGGGCCTCCCTGTACTCACGCAGAGGTCCCCACGCACCGAACATTCTGGCCACCCCTCCTCCCATAGAGGGCACGGCCCAAGTAGCGTTGCCCCCGTGGATGCCTCTTTCCCAAGGCCCGTTTCTTCAGTCTCCTGGCTGCCTTACCAGCTTTTAGTTTACAGCCTCGTCGGGAGCTTCCCGGGATAATCCGAAACCCACCCCAGATGCAGAGGGCAGGGGGGACTGAAGAAAGGGGACAGATCACTCCAGATATGTGGGTAGCAGGTTTAATAAGCAAGGGGACTCATTTACAAGGCTCGTCTCGGCCGGCTGCAAGATGCGTGGATTTCTGCACGCACCTGCCAAGTCTTACAAGTTTATATGGAGGCCTTAACTGGGTTGAGTCCCATACATATTGTCTGGCTGGTCTTGGAGCCATATCACTATCTCAAGGCCATGTCTTTGGGGGCAGCCTCTGGGAGCAGGGAAGGCAAGCAGAATGCACATTCCCAGGACAGGGGAGGGGATGAGGAGCCCCTGAGGGCCAGGGTCCAGCTCGCGGGGCAATCAGTGGTCACCCCCTCTCAACGGTCTCCCCCAGTGACTGGCTTCCTCTTGGCCAAAGCTGGAACCCAAAGTCCCAGGCCTCTGAACGGTTGAGGAATATGAGGGGTCATCTCATCCATTCCCCTACCTCCTCTCTCTCTCCTGGAAAGATTCAGGGTAGTCCAAGAACACAGGTTTTTAGCTTTGGACAGACCTGACTTGGCACACCTGTGTGTCCTGAAGCAAGTTGCCTCACCTCTCTGAGCCTGGGCTCCCCATCAGCGCCAGGACGGTAATCTGGCTTTGCAAGGATTCGAGAAGAAGTTTTCAAGCTAATACTGCCTGATGCCTGGTGCCAGAGGTATGGCGGCGTGCCTGCTGCAGGGAGGAAAGCCAGGAGCCTGCAGTAGAAGCCAGACTTAGGAGAAAAAGCCCCTGCTTCTGGGCCCACATGCTTTCCTTCGGTTGGTTGTTCTCCAAAGCTCTCTGGGCTGGGACGTGCATAGGCGTTCAGTGCCTGCTCGTTTAAATTCCTCAGACAGGCTCTGAGCCCTCGCTGGCAGAGATGAGAAAGAAGACGCCCCCCCTCCCCGAGGCTGGCCCAGTTTGGGAAGCCAGAGTCACGGAACCACTGCCAGACCCCCCCCCCCCCCCCCACCGCCCCAGACTTCTTTACTCCGAAGAGGTGCCTTTTCTGCAAGAAAGCAGTGGTGCTGTTTGCATCGGGGGTGGGAGGAAGGAAACAAGACGGCATTCAGAACTCAACAAACATTCGCGCTTTTAAATGCACTTCTGTTCAGTCCACTGCTTGGATACCTAGAGATTTCTAAGGTGGTTTCCTTGGCCCAGGAGGCCCTGGCAACGGGTCTGTTGGCTTCTCACTGGTGAGGTCGGCACACGTCCAGTCTCAGAGGAAATCTTCCGGACAAAGAGATAAAGTGACAACGGGAAAAACTCCCCAGAATCTAGAAGTGGAGATGTGTATTCAATCGAAGGCACACTTGAGTCATGCCAGTGAATTTTGGGATCCTCTTTGGCTTCAGCGGACGGGGGATGGGACACTGCTGGCATGATTGTGCACTTGCTGTGTGCCTGGGGTCACTAGGGGCTTCTGCCAACAGTGGCTAAGCTTCCCCCAGAAGCCTGGGACGTAGATGAGGTTGTCTCCCCATTTCACAATGGGGAGGCTGAGGCTTAGGGATGAAAGGCCTCCTGGCTGCACCCTGTGTGTGTCTTGGTCCAGTCCTCTCCCTCCCACTGCGGCCCACCTTGGTCCTGCTCTGTCCCATGGCCCAGATTAAGGGGGTGACAGGGAACTTTGGAAGAAGGGGAGTCCAAAGAGACGGCCAAACCTGCCTGGGGCCTCACTCCCAGCATCCAAAGTCTGCCAGGGCGTGAGGTGCTTGAGGAAGAGAGGAGTGACCTTTGGCATGCTAAGGGTGGCACCGAGACCTTGGCCTAGACTCCTTTGCCCCACTTGCTGGCTATTCTGAAACAGATTTGGCAGAGCGGCCTCATTGGGAGTGTTCCGGAATGGACCTCAACCAGCCCAACCCCCCACTCTACTTTAACCCAAGCCTCTCAGGGTGCTAGGGTGGGCCTGCAGGGACCACAGCGTCCCTGTCTGCACCTGCCCCCAAGGTAGGTGGTGAAGTGGCGGGAGCATCAGCGTCTGAAGGTGGGTGGCCGGCCTCAGTAGTTGGTGCTTTGCTCCTTACAACAGCCCCTGCCCGTGAACTCTCATTCCCATTTAACATGTGGGAAACTGGGGCTCAGAGAGGTGACATGACTTACTGAAGGTCACCCTGCTGGTGAACATCAGGGGACTTGGTGTAATCCTGGGTCTGCCTTTGCCTCTCTGTGTGGCCTTAGCTGAGCCCTTTCATGTTGCAAAGGCTCAGCGTATATATCTGTAAAATGGAGCAACATGATATTGAATGAATCGTGGAGTTATCTGTTTAGCATCCGGCTTCCTTGCCAGACGGTAATCTCCCTGAGAGCCAGGGCCATTGCTCCCTTCCTCCGCTGTGCTCTTAGCCACTGGCACAGCGCGTAGCATTTGCTTCTCGACAGCCCTATGTGGCAGGTGTGTACCATGGAGCCCATTTTACAGATGAGAAAACCGACTCAGAGAAGTGAAAGCATTTGCCCAAGGCAAACCGTAGTAAAAGGGTTGGTAAGTGGCAGAGCTGGGCCCCCCCTGTCCTTTCAAGTAAGTATGACTTTGGACACCCCTACTTCAAGGCAGGTTTTGGGGGAGAGGGCCCGTTGGCTTCCGTCGCAAGCATTGAACGTAGGTTGGGCCAGGAGCAAACCCCCCATCCTTACAGCCTCAGCTGGTTTTGGCCCCCATACCGCTCTTAACCCTGACCTTCCCCCCTTTGTCTTCTGCCCCGCCCAGGACTGGAATCCGGCCACATCCGAGGCTCCCTCAACATGCCGTTCATGGACTTCTTGACCGAGGACGGCTTCGAGAAGAGCCCGGAGGAGCTGCGCTCCATGTTCGAGGCCAAGAAGGTGAACCTGGCACAGCCCCTCATCGCCACGTGCCGGAAGGGAGTCACCGCCTGCCACATCGCCCTGGCCGCCTACCTCTGCGGCAAGCCCGACGTGGCCGTCTACGACGGCTCCTGGTTCGAGTGGTTCCACCGGGCACCCCCGGAGACCCGTGTGTCCCAGGGGCAGCGTGGGAAGGCCTGAGCGCCAGGGCTCCTCGCCGCCTGCAGCCCCCCGTCCTCTTGGTGACCGCGGTCTGACATCCGCGTACCTCTTCCACCAAGGAGACCACCTAGGTTTTAGGACCGTGTGCAAAGCTCTCCTTTGCCCCCAGACACTGGAATAAACTGTTTTTTTTTTCTGAGTAGCTGTGTTTGCCTGCCTCTACCTGGTCCCATCCTTGCTCCGTCTGCCGTCCCCTTCAGGTTCCTTAGAACCCGCAAGGCAAGAAGCCTCCAGAGCAGCCCCTGGGGGCGGGGGGCCCACACTGTGGGGGCCACTCTATTACTTAGTTTTGGCAGAGGAAGTCGCCTGTTGTCCCATGTCCGGCGGGGCATGCGAGGACCCACCAGGAAGAGGCCCCAAGTGGTGGGGAGAAGTGAAAGCAAGGCCAGCCGGCCACCAGCCCCCTTCCGGTGTAGGCCAGCCCTCTGGGGGAGAGGAACAGAAGAGGAGGCATCTGGCCTTTGAAAGGAGGGTTCGAAGGGGTGTCACACAACACAGGCCCTCTCAGAAGAGGCGCTCAGGGGCGCCTGGGTGGCTCAGTTGGTTGAGCCGCAGACTTCGGCTCAGGTCACGATCTCACGGCTTGTGGGTTCGAGCCCCGCGTCCAGCTCTGTCGGTACTGACAGCTCAGAGCCTGCCTTGGATCTTCTGTCTCCCTCCCTCTCTGCCCCTCCGCAGCTCACGCTAATAAATAAACAGTAAAAAAATTAAAAAGAAAAAGAATAATCAGGCTTGCTGAACTGATTCAGTTCAGTGCACCCACACAGAGGAAATCAAGTCGCAAGACTGATTATTTACAGATCCCAGACATGGGTGGGGTGGTGATGAGCCACAGTAAGGGCTGTCCTCTGTCCCAGGTTGTACGTGAGTGGGAAAGACAGAGCAGGATAGCAGGCACCTATTAGGCACAGGGTGGTTGGGGCGGAGGTCTCTAAGTTTTCATGGGCTCAGCTCTAAGAGGTTATTTCAATATGTGCCCGGAGAAAGGCAAAGACAGAATTTGAGATGTGGGAATCCTAAGCTCAGGTCCTAATCTAAACGTCCAGACTCGGGGTATGAGGAGGGCTGTCATATTGTCAAATGTCTTGGTAGCACCTAAGGACGGCTTCTCCCTCCCTTCCTTCCTTCCTTCCTTCCTTCCTTCCTTCCTTCCTTCCTTCCTTCCTTCCTTCCTTCCTTCCTTCCTTCCTTCCTTCCTTTCTTCCTTCCAAAGTAGGCTTCATGCCCCGTGCAGAGCCCAACTGGGGCTTGAACTCACAACCCTAAGACCGAGACCTAAGCTGAGATCAAGAGTCCGACGTTTAACTGACTGAGCCACCGAGCTGCCCCCACAGATGTCTGTCTTCTCCTCATCGGCTGCATGAGCCCAGGCCTCACCTCCTGGATGTTCCCTGCTTCCTGTGTAGCCTTCCCGGGCAAAGTCAGGGTCATGGAGGGCCGGGGGACCAAGTGTGTCCGTGACAAACCTGGGCTCTAGCCCAACGTTGAGGCAGGCAGGTGCTCAGTTCGCTGAGGAGACCGGGATGTGAGGCTGGGTCAGGCTGAGCGTCTGCGTGGAAGAGGGCTGGGGCCCTCCCGCCACCACACTGTCCTTGTCGCGCTAGCTTTAGGTCCTTTATTGGAGACTCCAGTGGCCAGAGAACTCAGCTAAGCCACGCCCAGTGCCCTGACCCACAACAACTGCTATAATAAATGGGTGCAAAGCAGCTACGTTTGTGGTAATGCGGTTATGCAGCCAGAGAAAATTAATACAGGCAGAGAGCAATTAATACAGGCAGAGAGACCAGGAGATGGGTGAGGAGACAGGAGGCGGCGGTGGTCTGGATGGGGGATCTAGGGGAAGATGCGGCCGTGGCTAAGGGCGTGCGAGTCCGATGTACGTGGAAGGCCTTGCTGACGAGTGGCTCCTGAGGTCAGCACTGAGTTACAGGCGACATCTCTCTGTGGCAGGCAATGTGCTAGGCATTTCCCGAAAGCGACTTCACTCAGTTTTCACTTTTTTTTTTTTAATTTTTATTTATTTCTAGGAGAGAGAGAGAGAGACAGCGTGAGCAGGGGAGGGTCAGAGAGAGAGGGAGATACAGACTCTGAAATAGGCTCCAGGCTCTGAGCTGGCAGTCAGCACAGAGCCCGACGCGGGGCTCGAACCCACGAACCGCGAGATCATGACCTAAGTGAAAGTCGGACGCTTAACCGACTAAGCCACCCAGGCGCCCCTCAGTTTTCACTCTTACCCTTGGTGGGGAGCTGTATCTGTTTTATACACCAGGAAAGTTCAGCCAAAAACTTGGCCAAAGTCACTCTCTCTTTTTAAAAAAATATTTATTATTTATTTTTGAGAGAGAGAGAGAGACAGAGTATGAGCAGGGGAGGGGTAGAGAGAGAGGGAGACACAGAATCGGAAGCAGGTTCCAGGCTCTGAGGCTGTCAGCACAGAGCCCAATGTGTGGCTTGAACTCACAAACCATGAGATCATGACCTGAGCTAAAGTCGGACGCTCAGCTGACTGAGAGCCACCCAGGTGCCCCAACGTCACTCTTTTCTTAAGTGGCAGGCCCAGACTCAGGGCCCCCGAGTGTAACCAAGCTCTCTGCCACCTGGGGAGACCCTGGAAGGTTGGTGGGGGTGCGGTAGGGTGGGGTAGGGGGAGCATCCCCTCCACCCCCACCCCTGCTGAGCAGCAGCCGGACAGGAGTGAGTTCCCACTGGCATCAACTGCAGAAGCCACTTAACTAGGAATCTTCTGTTGCCCTCGTGGTTGGAGGGGGGAGTAGTGCCGACTCTCACATCCTGCTCTCATTTTATACTTGGCCCCTGATCCCTTCGTGTCCAGCTCTGACAGCTCCAGGCACACCTTTCCTCCCCTCCCCACTCCCCTTGGCCTATACTTGTGCTCATAAGCACGTTCACTCTGTAATGTTCAAGTCTCTTCTAAACTGTTAAACTCCTACACATCCGTCAGAGTCCAGCCCAAATGGACCCTCTGAAAGCCCCGACTCCTTTCCCCAGACAACACTAATCACTCTCTCTATTTAATCGGCTGGAGTTCCAAGAACTTCCTTTCCATCTGATGGCATCCGAGCCCTCCATGCCCGACACACAACCTGGCACATGTAAGGGAGAAACATTCTGAGTGGATGAGGAGGCGAGCAATGCCTGAAGGCCCCTCCTTCCCCCTCAGTACTGGCTTCACCCCCCCTCCCCCGTTCCCTGGTGGGGGTGGGGAAGGCCCCGAGCCCTCTGAGGTAACAGAGCCCTATGTATAGCGGTCTCCATGGCAACTCCAATGAAAGTGGAGGAGGGCGGTACCCTAGCAACCTCCCAGCTGCCTTCGGCAGCAGTTCTGCCCTGTGCATCTGCGCTCCTGGGCTCTTCAGGTGCCAGCGTGGTTCAGGTGTTTTCTGACGTTATGAGAGAGAGTGGAGAGGTGAGGCCGAGGCCTGTGAGGTGGGCCGGGGGTCTTCTGGGACCCAGGAGTTCATTGTCCCTCTCTCCATTCAGGGCCGCTCGTGAGGGAAGAGAGCCCAGACACAACTGGACCTTCTTCCCTGGCTTCCTTGACTGACGTTTCTTGGGACCTTTCTTTCCACATCAGAACCTGGCAGTGAGTTCACACTTCTGTTCAAGCCAGTCCAGGGGGCTGGGGGCGTCATGGGGGCAGATGGGACGCTGCTGTGGGCACATCGGGGGCGGACAGGGGGGTGGGTAACAGGGGATGAGAGATGGGGATGGGAGCAGACAGCCCACTTGAAGGAGACAGAAGATGTCGGGCGTGGTTTCAGTACCACCTGGCTGAGCTCCTGTTTCTTTCCTGAGCCTCAGTTTCTCCATCTGTGAAAGAGGGTGAGTTAATACTTTCTTTGAACACCTGCGTCCTTATGAAGACAGATTAATCTACTAAATGTCAGCATGCATAACAGATGATCTGTATTAGTTATCTCTTGCTGGGTAACAAATCACCCCAAAATGTAGTGGCTTAAGAACACTTTTTTATTTCACAATTTCTTTGGGTCGGAAATACAGATGCACTCCAATGGGTCCCCTGTCTCAGGGTCTTTCACAGTATATAATCGAAGTTCAACTAGAGGACCTCTTCCCAGGGCTGCTCGTATGGTAGAACTCAGTTCCTCATGGATTATTGAATTGAGGGCCTCAGTTACTCATGAGCTGCTGGCCAGAAGCATCCTTCAGATCCTTGCCAGGTGGGCCTCTCCTGAGGTTAGCTCACGACATGGCCATTTCTTTTATCACAGTGAGCCAGCCAAGAGCCTGACAGAGTGTGAACAATGGAGTCACAATCTTCTATGTTCAGTCTTCAATCATCCTGGAAATGACAGCCCATCACATTATCCCATCAAATACTCCATTGGTCAGAAGCAGGTCAACAGGTGCAGCCCACACGCAAGGGATGGGATTATACAAGAGTGTGAATACCAAGGGACAGGATCCTCGGGAGTCCTGTCAACTGCTTACTTCAGGGTCCCCTCGAGGCCCCAATAATTTACATCCCTTCCACGTGCAAAATACATTTATTTCTGCCTAAGATCTCAAAAAAAAAAATGCTCATTCCATTACAGCATCAGCTCTGGCTGATGCTCTAGATTCTGCATCTAGAATCTGGCTCTACAAATCGGACCCAGGTGTGGAAGAGGCTCCTTGGCTGTGGCGTCTTGAGCTCAGTCCTTCCCCATCAGTCGATCTTGTGAAACTAAGCTCTGTGTGAATGCACCCAACACACAATGGTGTGGACACCTAGGATGCGAGCTACAGTCATCTCGATTCAAAAACAAGGAAGCTGGAGACACAAAATCACTGGTCCGTAGCAGTTCTGAAATCCAGCCAGGGAATGGTCGAACTTTCCCTGGTTGGGTTTCAAGGCGTGGAAATAATTCTCCGTGGTTCTCAGCAATTCCCAGCAGGTGCTTGCTTCCTCCCTTCTAATTATGCTTTAAAAATACAATAAAATAGAAGATAGCACGTGTATAGGCTGAGTAGTTCCCGCAGAATTTGAGAGTCCACCAGTCTTTTTCTATTTTGTACTTCTCTGCCCCCTTTCCTCCAAGCTGGTAGTGCTTTTGCTGATAGTTTCCTCAATATCTGAATCCCCCAGGGGCCCACACCACTAGACAACAGCTATGCTCCTCTCTTCTGGGGCTCCTGCTGAGACAAACTTCCTAGAGGTCCTAATACTCCACTGGGGGTCTTCGAGGTGAACACTTATCTCTTGAAAGGGCCCTTTGTGAAAAGATAGTTGCAAATGACATATCAGATAAAGGGTTAATATCCAAAATCTATAAGGAACTCACCAAACTCCACACCTGAAAAACGAACAACCCAGTGAAGAAATGGGCAGAAGACATGAACAGACACTTCTCCAAAGAGGACATCCAGATGGCCAACAGACACATGAAACGGTGCTCAGCATTCCTCCTCATCAGGGAAATACAAATCAAAACCACACTGAGATACCACCTCACACCAGTCAGAGTGGCTAAAATGAGCAAATCAGACAACTCTAGATGCTGGCGAGGATGTGGAGAAATGGGCACCCTCCTACACTGTTGGTGGGAATGTAAACTGGTGCAGCCCCTCTGGAAAACAGTGTGGAGGTTCCTCAGGAAACTAACAATAGAACTCCCCTATGACCCAGCAATAGCACTGCTAGGAATTTACCCAAGGGATACAGGAGTGCTGATGCATGGGGGCTCATGTACCCCAATGTTCATAGCAGCACTCTCCACAATAGCTAAAACATGGAAAGAGCCTAAGTGTCCATCAACGGACGAATGGATCAAGAAGATGTGGTTTATCTATACCATGGAATACTACATGGCAATGAGGAAGAATGAAATCTGGCCATGTGTAGCAGCATGGATGGACCTTGAGGGTGTTATGCTGAGCGAAATAAGCCAGGCAGAGAAGGACAGATAACATATGTTTGCACGTATAGGAGGATTAGGAGGAACTTAACGGAGGACCATGGGGGAGAAGAAGGGGGGAAATGGTGGGGGAGGGGGAGGGAGGCAAACCATGGGAGACTCTTGAATGTTGAGAACAAACTGAGGACTGATGGGGGCGGGGGGGGGAGGGTGGAGATGGGCATGGAGGAGGGCACGTGTGGGGATGAGCACCGGGTGTTATATGGAAACCAACTTGACAATAAACTATTTGTAAAAAAAAAAAAAAGAAAGAAAAGAAAGGGCCCTTTGTGTGACTGAATAAGGCCCTGACCTTTTCATCTTTATAAAGTTTTTTTTTTTTAATGTTTATTTATTTTTGAGAGGAGAGGGTAGGACACAGAGAGAGAGGGAGACAGAGAATCTGAAGCAGGCTCCATACTGTCAGTGCAAAGCCCGACGTGGGGCTCTAACCCATGACTCAAGTGATCATGACCTGAGCCTAAGTCAGACACTCAACCAACTGAGCCACCCAGGTGCTCCTGTGAGTTTTTTTTTTTTAATGTTTTATTTATTTTTGAGAGAGAGAGAGAGAGAGAGACAGAGTGAGAGCAGGGGAGGGGCAGAGAGAGAGGGAGTCACAGAATCTAAAGCAGGCTCCAGGCTCTGAGCTGTCAGCACAGAGCCTGATGCGGGACTTGAACTCACGAACCGTGAGATGATGACCTGAGCCAAAGCCGGACGCTTAACCGACTGAGCCACCCAGGCGCCCCTGAACACATTTCTTAATTTCAGCATCTTTTGGCACTTGAAGAGGATGAGGTTTTCCGAAACCATCAGGTCCTGCCTCTTTTGTGTTTAATGGTCCTTCCTTCAGTGCTGCTTTTTCCTCTCATATTTCACTACAAGAAGAAGCAGGGAGGCGTCTTCAGGGCCTTTGCTTGGAAGTCTCCTTTGCTACATCCCCCAGCTCACCCGTCACATGTTCTACTTTCCACATAACCATCAATGGCCACGTCATAAGTTTCCATTGTTACATAACAAGGATGCGTCTTCGTCCAGGTTCGAAAAACACATTCCTCGCGTCCTTTTGTGCCTGCACATCTGTTAAGGAAATGTAGGCTTCCTCCATCAAGTCCCTCAAATTCCAGCCACGCCTCAACACTGCTTGATTCTGAGGCCACTCCCACATTTTTAGGTTATTTGTTACAGCAGCGGCCCATCTCGGTACCAAAATATACGCTGGTTACCTCTTGCTGCGTGACAAATGGCCACAAAGCATAGCAACTTAAAACTACGTGCTTTAGGGGTGCCTGGGTGCCTCGATTGGGTGTCTTGACTTTGGCTCAGGTCACGATCTCACGGATCATGGGTTTGAGCCCCATGTCAGGCTCTGTGCTGACAGCTTGGAGCCTGGAGCCTGCTTCAGATTCTGTGTCTCCCTCTCTCTCTGCCCCTCCTCTGCTTGTCCTGTGTCTCAAAAGTAAATAAACATTTTTTAAAAAACCTATGTGCTTTAAAGAAGTACAAATTTATTATCTCATAGTTACTATGAGTCTGGATCCTGAGTGTGGCCTGGGCGGGTCCTCTGGGTGTCCCATGGGCTATAATGGATGTGTCTGCTGGGCTGTGTTCTCATAGGAATGCTCAACTAGGGAAGGATCCACGACCATGCTCACTGGGGAGGGGACAGGATCAGGTAGTTCTCTGAGGACTATGGGACCAAGGGTCTCCATTCCTCGTGAGCTGTTCGCCTCTCCACGGGGCAGCTCAAAACACGGCAGTTGTTTCTACTAGAGCAAGGAATCCAGGCAGAGCCAGAGAAAGAGTGTGAACAAGACAGAAGGCACCTGGGGCACCTGGGTGGCTCAGTCTGTTGAGCATCCAACTTTGGCTCAGGTCATGATCTCCTGGTCCGTGGGTCTGAGCCCCGTGTTGGGCTCTGTGCTGACAGCTCGGAACCTAGAGCCTGCCTCGGATCCTGTGTCTCCCTCTCTCTGCCCCTCTTTGGCTTGCACTCTATTTCTCTCTCTCTCAAAAATAAATATATTTAAAAAAAAAGAAGGCACTAATCTAATCTCAAAGTGACATGTTTCCACTTTGTCATATCCTTTGGATCAGAAGCAAGCTGCTAAGTCCAGCCCACACTCAGGGCGGGGTGTGTGTGTGGCCAGGGGCTAACACGCTGTGTGAATACCAGGGGGACAGGGATCATTGGAAGCATCCATATCAGACGCTGCACAGTCACACAGGTGTTGCCACACGATTATCAAGTGTCAACATTAATAGGGTGTTTTGCTTTGTCATTTTTCCAAAGAACAAAATTGACCAAGCTCTTCATCTGCTCTGGGCTTTACCAGCAGACCAGCGGGGCTGGGTGACCTGACACTCCCCCTCCCTGGGCCTCCGTTCCTTTATCTATAAAACCAAGAGATTGGATTAGTTAATCCCAAAGACCCCCTCCAGCTCTGACTTGCAGCTTCCATGCTCTCCTGATTACAAAGATGCTTACCGCTTAGGTCAGGTGTGAAGCATTCACTATACAATCCGTCGTTTTATCTTTCTTATTTGCGGTGAAAATCTTAAAAGCCACTGCAATAAAATATTAGGAATATGAGGAAAGATCACTGGGAAAAGGAACACAAACCCGAGAGCAGCAGAGGCTTTGAAGATTCCGAAGCTGCCCCTCAAATTCGGCCCAGAGGCCTGTTCTTTGGAGCAAAGACTGAGGTTGGACCAGGGTGATTCCCGTGCTCGGCTCTCCTGTGTTGGCCAAGCCAGTTCCCTTGGCTCAGGCTGCGCTGGGTGGGGCCGGGCTGATGGCCAAGGGCCTCTATGTTCAGCGCTCAGCTCATCTGTCTCTGCAGAGACCATGTGTCATCTGTGATGACCAAATGTGTTTCTCTGTCTACAGGACGAAGCTTGGAATTACCTGTCCCAGAGCAAGAGTCCATGGAGCTGGGCCGCCAAATAGGTAGGACAGGCTGCCCTGGGACCAGCTTCTGGATGGGCACCCTGGGGGCAGCAGGGAACAGCCCCTGCTCCCTCTCCCTCGATCTGGGTCTCAGTCTTGCTTGGGTCTCCCACGGTGGGGCCCTGACTCCCTCTGCGTTCTGTTTGAAGACAGAAATCAAAGGCAGGGAGAGGAATATTGCTGGCCCCTCCCATCTGCCCCTCTGCTGTGCCCAGTCTCTGTTTGCAGGGCTCAGGGGGAGGCGAGCGCCCCAGGGCAGTGCTGAGGAACAACCCAGCTGGGGCCTGGTCTCGTGGCTGGAAGGTACGGGCAGGTCCTGAGTGAGCCGGGCCCAGGGAGTGGTGTGGCCCAAGGAGTTGAGACGGGAGGGTCCAGGCGTGGGGAACAGCGTGGGCAGAAATCTAGAAGTCAGAGGTGCTTTGGCGAAACCTAGAGAAGTCAATATGGCTCCTGGGTCCTGGGCCTGGATCCCCGAGTTGGGGGCTTTGCCTACAGGACAAGGGGGGAGGCCTTCAATGCAGGAGTGACTGGGCCAGGTCAGCTCTGAGAGGGGGCCCTAGGCGTGTGGCCATCCAGTGAGATCGGGGAGGACTTGCCTATTGGAAATTCTCTCCAAAAACCCCCGGACCCCGGCCATGTTAAACTCTCAGATTCTGCCTCTCTCAGGGAGGCTCTGATGCAGGCGTCAGGAGGGGCCCTAGAATCCACGGATGTAATGAGTGGGGGCGTGTTGGGGGCGGGAATCTGATTGAGGGCCAAGCTGGGAAAACTGAGCACTGACCATCTGACCCTCACAACAGCAAGTGAAGCTGGTCTTGCTCTGCCCGCTTTACAGCTGAAGGGAAGGAGGAACAGCAGAGTTACAATGGGGTTCCTGAAACGCCAGCAGCCAACATTCATTCATTCATTCATTCATTCATTCATTCCACAAATATTTAGCTCCAAGAGGTCAGGGGTTGGCCTTTTAGTTCACTGTTGTGTCCCCGGTGCCTGACGCAGCACCTGACACAGTTTGTGCTCCATCAGCAGGTGGGTTGGTGAATATGGGCTCTCTGGACCGGGTCCGGCCAGTGAAAGCTTGTCACCCCAAGGGGCTGGCGGAGGGAAGGTGGGCAGGCGATTCCGCTGTAACGTGAGGATCAATGAGGCAGTCGGGAGCTCGGCCTGGGAGAAACGGGGAGCCCTGCAACTTGAGTCGTGAGCCCGGCATCCTGCGGGACCCCAGTAGGAGCCCATCGCTGCCCTGGGCCTCAGCCCCGCCCCCCCCACCCACCATAAGCAGGAGGAAGGGCCGTGGTTGATGGGGTGGGTGCTGAGCGTAGCTCATACGCTGTCTCCACTCTGTTGAGAAGGGTGCCCGGCCCTGGCCTTGGTTGTCCCCAGAGGCTCCCATTTGTTTGCTGGGGCGGAACCAGGACTCGACGTAGGGAAGGCCGCCGGGTCTGGTCTCAGGAACAAGTTCTCCCTCTGCCTTTTGTGTGGATGGCCAAGGAGCAAGAACGAAAACAGCATCTGATTTCACAGGTGGGGGGGTGGGGCAGGAAGGAAGGCAAGCGTTTTCTGCCTCCACTGCCCTACGGAAGGGTCTGCAGCTCCTCATGGGGGCGGGAAGTGAGAGGGGCTTCCGCAGGGCACTGCCCGTACTTGGAGGATCCCATGAGAATGAAATAAAACCCCCAGGAACTGGCAAACCCCCGCTGCTGTCCATCGGCCATCTCTGACACCCGCGCCCTGGAAATCGAAATTGCTAAATCCTGCCCCATCAGTCTGAGTCTCCCACCATAACCCAAGGCACAGTGGGGGGTTTTTTAACAGCAAGTTGCAAAGCGGATACATAGAATCTGATCTCCTTTTATAAACAAAAGGGAAGCAAAACTATGTATCCTTCAGGAGGGCTGGAGGAGCTATCTCTAATGTTTTGGAGGGAAGCTCACCAAATGCGTTGACAGTGGTGACCTGGGATTGAAGCCTGGGGAGCAGGGGGTGAGGCCGACTGAGGCTGTGTGTGTGGTGGTTGAGGCCGGGGGTGGGGGAAAGGCTCCTTTTCTGTATTTTGCACAGAAAATACAAGGATGAACAAGGGAAGAAAGAATTTATATACTCCTACGCATTATATAGAATGCGTAACACGTTACATAAATCGAGTGTTTTAAGTCACCATCCCTGTGGTTGTAAGATGCCCCGTTACTTATGTGGCTTCCCCGCCCCAAAGAGAAAAACATCGCCGGTTAGACCCGGGCCATCGACTGTCAGATGCGGTCTGATGTCAGAGGTGTGAGCATGAAAAGAAATGAAGTGTTACGCTGACGGCGCGCAGTGTCACTCTGGGTCTGACACCCCTCCAGCCCCCTACTCGCTGGCTTACTGCTGGCCTCCACCCCACGTCTCAGATGCACGGGGCTGTCTGGTGGGTGCTGCGGGAGGTCCAGGATTGACCCACCCAAGGCCCCACTTCAGTGAGGCCGCCACCCCCCATCTTGGAGGGCGGGAAAGCCAGGCTGGGGTGGGTGTCGGGGAGGATTCTTGATGAGACAGCATTTGAAGGAACTGAAGGGGAGGGTTTTGAGAAGGAGGGGCAGGCCTTCTAGGTAGCGGAACCAGGCCGGGGTGGGGGGGCGGGGGGGCGGCACTGGGAATTGGGGGTGGGGAAGGAGGAGCCGTTTGGTTGGAGCCAGGGATGGGCGAAGACAAGAAGGAGGGACTGGGAGTCCGGGCCAGAAGGCGCGGCTGCTGGTTGGAGAGCCTGGAAGTGGCTGGGGTGATGCCACCTGAATAGTGAAGACGGCAGAGGGAAGTGGGGGCTGGGGAGCAGCTATGAATGGGGAGCAAAGACCTGGCCCATCCAGCCCCGTGACTGGGCCAGCCAAGGAGACCCTCTGCCAGTTCCCACCGCTGCTGGCTTTCTCCACTGGATCCCTGTGGGATTCAAAGCCAGGAAGAGAACTAACCTACTGGAGCTAGTTCACAAAGCACAGAGAGGTCAGGGTCACACAGCCGGGGCCTCAAGGCTGACAGCCTGGGGCTCCAGCTGCTCTTGTCAAAAACAATGTGGGTTGATCCTGTCCAGTGGGAGGCGGGAGGCCTGGCCGACTGAACTTCCTTCTTCCTCTGTCTCTCCTGATTTCTCCCCTGTGCTTCTGGCTGCTATGACCGCTCTCTGTCCCCGTCCCTTTGACCTCCCTTTGATGCAGGCTGGCTGGGTCTGAGGACCCAGCGAGGGGTCTCAAAGGACCAGCCAAGAGGGTCCTTGGCTTCTCACAGGACACGGAAATGAAATGTGAGCCGAGAGGAAGTTGAGAGCAGGGTCTGTTGAAGACGTAGAGAGTGAAGATGCAGACAGAGTGTCTGGGAGACTCAGAAGGGAGAGGGGAGCGAGTCTCCTCTTTGCTTGGGGCCTGGGGTTTTCCTTTAGGACAGTGGTCCCGTGCACATGTCTTCTCAGGCACCCAGGAGCAAGGACAGGTGTTTAGGCATTTTCTGTAAGGCACTGATGTCCTGAAGTGAGGGGTCTGGGTGAGTCCGTCTTGAAAAACGTTCATGTCGCTCTTTAGATATTGTCTATTGTGCTGGAAGACTCTGAAGAAGTCATTAAACCCTTGACCTTTACAAGGAGGGCATACACTATCTGTAAGGTGTGGATAAGGCTGCGCACAGTTCCCAGCATGAACAGAAGCAGGAAAAGGAGCAGAAAAAGCAGTTTCTCATGGGGTTCCTTCAGTTCTCTGCCTCGCCTTTATCTGCTCCAGGTCTCTGAGGCTCCGTGTCTGTCTCTTCCTCCTTCTTGCCTCATCACTGTCTCCCTTTCTGTCCCCTACTTTGCATTTATCTCTTTCCCTCCCTCCCTCCCGCTCTCCCCCTATTCAGGTACAACCTCTATGGCCAGGGCCCATCTGAACAGCAAGGAAAGCCAGCAGGACACGGACTCCTGGAGAACTGCCCTTAGCCCTTTGGACACCCCCAAGTTCAAGTACCAGGCCCCCGTCTCCCCACAGGAGACCCTGTACCGGGGATGCAGCCCCCTAAGGCAGCCCCACTCTGAGGAGGTCCAGCCCACACCCTCAACGGCCATCAGTAGGGGTTCTCTGTCCTCGGGGAAGGACTCACAGTGTGGGTCCCTGAAGAACGGAGGCTACAGACCCTCCTCGAGGGAGAGCAGGGCTTCTATCCAAGAGGAGGCTCAGCTGTGCCAGGGACCAAAGGAAGGTCCCAACATAGGAGCCCGGGACCAGAAGAGCAGCGTCATTCCCAACAACATTCGTCACAAGTTTGGGAGCAAGATGGTGGACGAGCTGATCTCTGAGGAGCAGGTATCAGAGCGGGCACAGGAGGCTGAGGGCAGCAGATGGGTTATGCGTGGAGACTTATGAAGACCCCCAAGGAGCCTGCTGTCAAGTACAGAGTCCCTACAATACTATCATTGATGACAGTGATGTTGACTGTGCCCTTGCGATGTGCCAGGCACTGAGCAGTTTAAAGTCTTCATGCACAACTCATTTGATCTTCCCGGTAAGGCAGGTACTATTGTTACCACCAGCATATGGGTAAGGAGCCCAAGGCTTAGAGGCGTTACCTAAGTTCACCAAACTCAACCAGTTCTATAGGATAAGAATCCAAACTGGGCTATCATGGTCTGGCCTTTACAGACCTTGCAGTGAGAAGTCTGGCTTTTGGATCAGATGCTTTTAACTTGAACAAGTCTCCTGAAGGAGACAACGTTGAGTGGATGGATGGCATTGACTGGGAATCAGAAGATTTGGTTTTGAATCCTGGCTCTGCCCCCAAATGCTAGGTGATGTTGGATAAGTTACTTCCCCTCTCTGGGCTCTAGTCCCTACATCTGTAAAGTGAGGCAGTTGGGCTATACCAGGTTGGCAAAGGCATGGCATGTATGCCACAACTTCCATGTCCTGCACATGGCAGACATCACTAGTCGATGCCGACATTGCCACAACATGGCAGACATCACTAGTTGATGCCAGCACTGTTCCCCACCTGATACACCATTCGGTGAGTCCCTATGGATCAGCTGAAAGTTGAGACAAAACTGCTATTTCTCGTCAAACGCGAGAGCGTTCTTCCTGCTCTGGCATCTTGACAGATATTTTCAAAGCCATCGTCTCAACCCTCACAGCGACTACCTTGTGCAAGTTATGGCTTCTTTTTGAACAGATGGTACAAGAGAAGTTCAGAGAGGTGACACGAGCTGCTTAGGGTCTCAATGAGCAAGCAGAATCCCTAGGATCACAAAGGCTGTGGGCTGGGTCCCCCCTCTACTTTGTCATTATAAGGTGTGGTGACCACACCCACCTGCTAGTCTGGGAAGTCACAATCCCAAATGTCCTGTCCCACTTGGAGGCCCTTGTCCCAACTTAGGGCTGGCTCTGTGATCACTGTCTGTCACTGCCCCTCTCGGCCTTGGAATGGTGTCATTTCTCCCTTTGGTCATCATTGTCTTGGGCTTGAATCAAGAGATCTGGTTTTTCTGTCTGGCTTTGACACAAGTGTCCCAGAGCCAGCAAATATCAGAGCTGGAGGCCACCTCAATGGCCATCTACTTTGGCCCCCACCCCCATTTTACAAGTAGGGAAACTGAGGCCCAGAGAGGCGCAGACACTCGCCCAATGTCAGTAGCTGGGTCATGGCAGAACTGGGATACACACCCCCATTTCCTGGTTCCTCACCCAGTCTGAGCCTCGGTTCCCCACTGGTACAGGAAGGAGCTGGCCCTGATGAAATCTCAGCAGCCACCCGAGCTGCCCTAGGTGATGCCTGGGTTCTAGAGAAAAATCAGGGCTCTGAGTGCTCTCAGACCTCTCCTGACGGTGTATACACTAGGTGCTCAAAGCAGGGAGGAGGCTTTATGATCATTACCTGCTCCGATGCCCGTGTGGCACGTGGGGAGGTGTGAGTGGTGGAGGGCCTTCAGCTCTCCCAGCCCCTGGCCCTGGGCCTGGTTGGAGGCTGCAGGGTAGGGGTGGGCTAAGAGGTGGCGAGGGCAGAGTGAGAGGGAGGGGGAGTTGGAGGAGGGTAGGGGGCTGATCCTGCTTCCCTTGTCTCTTCCTTGCTTGTCACACAGGCTCAAAGGGCCATCGACGAAGCCTCTGAGGGCCAGAAGAGTGCCAACTCGGGGTCCAGCAGGACCCAGAAACCCATGGAAATGAACTCCATCTTCTCAGAGTACTACAATCTGGGCTACAACACGCGGTCAAACTTGTTTCAAGGTCAGGCTCAAGGGCAAGGGTGGAGGCCGTCAGCAACTGTGGTGCCCAAGGCATTGGGTAGGGAAGGCCTTTGGGGTGTTCGCCCCTTCCTGGACCCCTATGGGGTCTGAGACCCAGGACTCATTCCCAGGGACACACATTTCACCGTCACCAAGGGCCTTCCCCGGGCCAGGCCCTGTGCCGCGTGCTGGGAATGTCCCGGCTCCAGCAATCTGTCCTCACCATGCGGAAAACCCATCCCCGTTGGCAAATAGCTGGCACTCCCTCAGACACCTCTGGGTGTCATAATCTGTGTCCTAATTTGGTCACAGGGAGGACAATATCAGGCTTTCTAGGTTCAAAGCTCAGCCCTGCCACTCCCTGGGTGTGGCCTCAGGCAAGATCCTTCACCTCTTTTGGCTTTGGTCACCTTCTTGGCATCGTGGGAGGTAACAATGAAAACGTGGCCCTCGGTGGGTCAGCGACAGGATTCTGAATTGCAGCTTGAAGCCGCTTGGCCTGGGGCTCCGAGTGAGTAGCTGACAGGCCATTAGTTTTCCTTCCCTGAGAGGGTGGTGGCATTGCCTGGGGGAAAGGACCGGCTGGAGATGCAGACATCTTTACAGTGTTCTCTGCGGGGCTGGGGCCGCCACCATCCTGTTTGCTTAGGGGCCACCACCATCCTGTTTGCTTAGGGGCAAGAATGATTAGCTCATTTCACAGGTGCATCGGAAAGTTCGCCCAAGACCACTCAGTTGTAGGTGGTGGGTCGGGGCACAGATCCATGTTTTCTTTCCGCCTCCAAAGCCCCAGAGTCTTTCCTCGGCTCGAGGGTCACCTCCCCGCTGTGACCCTGTGCCCAAGGGTTAACAGAATGCTCAGATGAAGGTCCAAGGCCATCGTGCAAGGCGCTTCTCTCTGCCCCCACGTTCGAGTTCAGCCTCATTGCAAAATACGACCTCTGTCCGGTCCTCTTCTTTCTTCCTTCCGTCACACCAGGACCTCTCCAGTGTCCCCAGAGCCTGGCAGACCTCCTCGCCTGGCTCAGATCCCCATCACCCAAGGAACCAGACAGCCACTGGAAGCCTTTCTGGCTTTTTCTTTGAGCTTAGAGACGGGGTGGTGCTGAGGGGGAGAGAGAGAAGACAGCTCAGATTGTCCTCTTTTCGGGGCCTCTGGGTTCCTGCCTTCCATGTGTCTCCGTAACGATAATCACCCATCAGCACACACACCCTTGTAGGGTAAGGTCCACACAAAGGGAAAAGCACTGTGTGCCCATCACCAGCCCGAGAGACACAGCCTTGGCACGGCTGGTGCGAGAGCCTGCTCAAACCAGCTGGCACCAGCTCACAAGGGTCCGTTGTTAAAGCTTCCTTAACTGATTGGCATCGCAACGCTATTTTACAGTGAACCATGGTAGTATTTATACTCCAGAAATCGGCCAGGCGCGGTCAGGTTGGGCTTCACCTTTAGCACCAACTGCCGGTGAATTTCGCCCGGGTGTCCCTTTCGTTTCCACTCCCTCTGTCTGCCTCACGCTAGCGGTTCCAGGTTGTGGTTGAACAAAAGTGAGGGAGAGGAGGGGGCGCCTGGCTGGCTCTGTCAGTTAGGCGGCCGACTCTTGATTTCGGCTCAGGTCGTGACCTCACAGTTCGTGGGTTCGAGCCCGGCATCGAGCTCTGCACTGACAGTCAGGAGCCTGCTTGGAATTCTCTCTCTCTCTCTCTCTCTCTCTCTCTCTCCCCCCTCCATCTCTCTGTCCCTCTACCACTCATCCTTTCTCTCTCAAAATAAATAAACTTGAGAGAGAGAGAGGGAGAGAGAGAGATCAGAGAGGCAAAGGGTTGGGTGGGGAAGGCCACCAGAAAGTCTTTTCTCTTGAGGGATTGGGAAGCCAGGGGAGGGAGAATCTCAGGCAGGAGAAACGACATTTTTGTGACTTAAGTTGGAGGACCATTCTGCTTGTCATTGAGGACTAGTTCAGGGTTGTTGGGGCAGAAACAGGAAGACCAGTGAGGAATTGACTGTAAAAATCCAGGTGGGGCAGATGATGGTGGCCTGGTCTAGGGAGCAGGGCTTGGGACCCTGCACAACCCTAGAGGCACCATTGTGCAATATGGCGGCCCAGGCAGATAATGATGAAGGTGGTCTGATGTAGCAGGCTTCTGGGTATCTGTAAGCTAGAGCATACAGGGTATGCTAATCAATAGATTTGGGGTGGAGGAGAGAGGAATTAAGGATGATTTCAAGATTTTGATGTGAAAATCTGGGAGGCTGAAATTACTATTTCCCAAGAGAGAAGGTTCCAGAAAGACCGGGTTGAAGAAATTCTACCCCATGTGAGTCTTAAAGAAAATCTTTCACATAGTCTTCTAAGATATTTAGTTTCGCTTTTCACATTGAAATCTTTAATCCACCTGGAGTCGATTTCTGTTGTGAGTGAGAAGTAGGGATTCCTGTTTAATTCTTCCTTTATGTGGATTCCCAATTCCCCTAATACCTTTTACTGAGTCGTCCCCCCTCTTCCCCCAATGACACCACTGGTATTCACCAAACGTCCACATGTGCTGGGATCAGTTTCCAGGCCCTCCGTTCTGCCCACTGTCTAATGTTATGCTTTTTAAAAAAATTTTTTTTAAATGTTTTTTTATTTTTGAGAGACAGAGAGACAGAGTGTGAGAGGGGGAAGGGTAGAGAGAGAAGGAGACACAGAATCCGAAGCAGGCTCCAGGCTTCGAGCTGTCAGCACAGAGCCCGATGCAGGGCTTGAACTCAAGAACCACGAGATCATGACCTGAGCCTGAGCCAAAGTCAACCACTTCACCGACTGAGCCACCCAGGCGCTTCAAATGTTATGCTTTTGGGGAGCCTGGGTGGCTTAGTCGGTTAAGCGTCAGACTTTCGCTTAGGTCATGATCTCACGGTTCGAGGGTTCGAGCCCCGCGTCAGGCTCTGTGCTGACAACCAGCTCAGAACCTGGAGCCTGTTTCAGTCTGTGTCTCCCTCTCTCTCTGACCCTCCCCTGCTCACGCTGTCTCTCTCTCTCTCCTAGAAATAAATTAAAAAAAAATAAAAAACACACAAAAAAATCAAATGTTATGCTTTTAATGACCAAGTATTAGAGGTAGTCCAGTCTCCGGCTGGGCAGATACCAGCCTCCCTCTCTATCACCACCAGCAGCATTAATGCCTTGGCTTTTCTAGGTCCTTGATTCCTCCACAGAGATTTTATTTTTATTTAAAAAAATTTTTAATGTTTTATTTATTATTGAGAGAGAGAGATAGAGACAGCGTGGGCAGGGAAGGGTCAGGGAATCACAGAATCCAAAAATAGGCTCCAGGCTCTGAGCTAGCTGTGAGCACAGAGTCCGACATGGGGCTTGAACCCACGAACTGTGAGATCATGACCTGGGAGGAAGTCAGACGCTTAACTGACTGAGCCACCCAAGCGCCCTTCCACAAAGATTTTAGAAATAACTTATCAATTTCTACAAAAAACAAAAGCCCTGTTGAGATCTTAGCTGGAAGTATGTTGAATCTATAGCTCAGATTAGGGGCAACGATCTGCTTTGTGATAAGGAATTTTCCAATCCGTGAATATGATAGGCAGGTTCATTAATGTAAATCTTTCAGCAACTGTAAATAACAGTTGATATATTGTTTTCTATAAGGACTAGGTAGTTTTTTGGTTAGTTTTCTTTAGAAAAACTTTTCCTTTGCTGCTTCTTTCAGATGGTATCTTTTTTAAAATTACGTTTTCTAACTTTGCTGCTTGTATCCACAGATGTGGTTTTTACTTCTGCATATTAGTCCTTTGTCCTGAAGCCTTGCTTGGCTTGCTTATTAATTCCAGTAATTTTTAGGTTCTTTGGGGCTTCTTTTTAATAATACTATTGGCTACTTTTATGCACAACATATAACCTATGCCATCAGGGGCAGCTCTAAGTACTTTATATACATTTTATTTTCTATTCCTTTAAACATCTTTAAAAATGTGTATTTTTGAGAGAAAGACAGAGTGCGAGCAGAGGAGGGGCAGAGAGAGAGGGAGACACAGAATCCAAAGCAGGCTCCAGACTCTGAGCTGTCAGCACAGAGCCCAACGCGGGGCTCGAACTCATGAGCCGCGAGATCATGACCTGAACCGAAGTCAGATACTCAACCGACTGGGCCACCCAGGCGCCCCTCTATTAGCTGATTTTTTAATATTCAACCAAATGTGTCTTCCTGCATTTAAACAAGCATAGATCCACTTTCCTTTTGAATTGTGAAAGCTGCCATCCGTGTAGAAAAGGGTGTGAAACCGAGGTGTGCAGTTTAAAGCATAGTAAAAGCCCCTCCCCTGCCACCTGCCCTGTTCTGGTCGGTGCTTCTCTCCCTGCACTGCCTGCCTTTTGTTACCAGCACCCCTGCTTTTCTCTGTAGCGTTAGCCCCTGTGTGTGAACCCCTCGGCAACGGTAGATAGACTGGTCTGGGCAGAGCTCGCAGAGAAGGTGACGTCTGGGTGGGAGACCCTGAGGAGGGGAGCAGGTCAGCCTGTGGGTTCCTGGGGAAGAACAGTCAGGCAGAGGGACCCGATGGGGGCACTGGCCCTTCCTGGCCTCGTTACTGGGAGCCATTGTAGGGTTTTGTACAGAGGAGTTACTTACGTTTCAAGGGACCCATCTGGCTGTTCCGCTGAGTCTGGACAGAACACAGTGGGACATGAGAAGAAGCAGGGAGGCCATGGAGGATGATCAGATGAGAGTAGGATTTATTTTAAGTGGTACCAGGCTGGCTCTAATCTCCACTCGCCCACCCCTGGGCCACAGAGCACCCTTGTCTGTGGAAGGAAGGCTGGGCTGGACGCTCTCTGCCCTGACATGTCAGGCCAGTGCCTTTTGCTCCCAGTTCTCATACCCCCCAGATTCTCGGGCTATACATCAAGCTCCCCAAGTGACCACACTGCGGAGCCTCTAATTAGATTTTTTTTTTAATGTTTTATTTATTTTTAGGAGAGAGAGAGAGAGACAGCGTGAGCAGGGGAGGGTCAGAGAGAGAGGGAGTCACAGACTGAAACAGGCTCCAGGCTCTGAGCTGGCGGTCAGCACAGAGCCCGTCGCGGGGCTCGAACCCACGAACCGCGAGATCATGACCTAAGCGAAAGTCGGACGCTTAACCGACTAAGCCACCCAGGCGTCCCTCTAATTAGATTTAACAGGAGAGGCGGGCAATACCTTGGGTTTGGAGGTGAGGAGGGGTGACTCAACACATAGGAAGCCAAGGATCAAAATATGCTAGCTAGTTTCCAAATCAGACCATTTCACAGCTCGACGCTGGTACGTTCCCCCGGAAGGCCTGCCTTTTTATTTTTTTAAAAAATATTTTATTTTTGAGAGACAGAGAGAGAAAGCGAAGAGAGAGAGAGAGCGCACTCATGAACCGCCAGATCATGACCTGAGCTGGTCAGACACTCAACCAACTGAGCCACCCAGGCGCCCCCCTCTGGCAGATTTTTAGATGCCTGCTAGAAATTTCCATCCAGAGGAGTCGGCTTCCTTCACAGCTTGCTTTGATTTCTGATCTCTCTCATCTTTAGACCTTCAGTTCAAATTAATTTTCCTTCCTTCTCTTTCTTACTTTTCTTTCTTTCTTTCCTTCTTTCTTTCCTTCCTTCCTTCCTTCCTTCCTTCCTTCCTTCCTTCCTTCCTTCCTTCCTTCCTTCCTTCCTTCCTTCCTTCCTTCCTTCTTTCTTTCTTTCTTTCTTTCTTTCTTTCTTTCTTTCTTTCTTTCTTTCTATTCCTTCCTTTCTTTCTATTCCTTCCTTTCTTTTTTCTTCTTTTTCTCTCTTTCTCTATCCCTTCTTTCCTTCCTTTCTTCCTCCCTCCTTCCCTCCCTTTTTAAAGATTTTATTTTTAAGTAATCTCTATACCCAACATGAGCCTCCAACTTAACAACCCTGACATCAAGATTTGCACACTCTACCCACTGAGCCCGCCAGGCACCCTTTCAGTCCAAATTTCTAACAATAACATTCTGTCATGTGAGCATCTAAAGTCACAAACACCAAGAGTGTCTAAAACAGTGGCTTTCTGGCTGGATGGCGTTGTCATTAGTGAAAGTGGCCTGACGTGGTTTCTGTCCTTTGAAATTGTTGACACTTGCTTTATGGCCCAGTGGACAGTCAATTTTTGTAGATGATCAATAAGTGTTTGAAACAGTCTCTTGGGTTCAGGCTTCTGTGTTTGTCGAATAGAGCAGGCTTGTTAAATATTCCTATACAAGTCTCTGGTTTCTTCTTTATATTCTTGCTTGATCTATTAATTACTAAAGATGTATCTTTAGATCTTTCCCTAGGACAGCAGATTTGGCAATTTCTCCCTGAGGCTCTGGCAACTTTGCTTTATCTATTTCAAGATTATTCTAATGCAGCAAGTTTAGAACTACTACATCGTCTGAGTGAATCGCAGCGGTTTTTCATTTATCTCACATTTTCGTCTCGAGATGCCTTTGCCTTACAGTCTGTTTGTCTGATATCAGTAGAACGTGACCAGATTGCTTTTGGTTAGTACATGTTTGGTACATCTTTTTCTATGTTTCCATGTTTATCCTTTATCTGTGTCCTTTTTATTTTTTAAAGTATGCTTTACATAATATATATTTGGAAAATATTTTCTGTAGTCTGATCATGTTTTTTAACTAATGGGACTTAATCTATTTATATATATATATTTTTAATATGGATCATCTCTGTGTCCTCAGTCCATTGGTTTTTTTTTTTTTTTAATATTTTTATTTATTTCTAGGAGAGAGAGAGAGAGAGACAGCGCGAGCAGGGGAGGGTCAGAGAGAGAGGGAGACACAGACTCCGAAACAGGCTCCAGGCTCCGAGCTGGCAGTCAGCACAGAGCCCGACGCGGGGCTCGAACCCACGAACCGCGAGATCATGACCTAAGCGAAAGTCGGACACTCAACCGACTAAGCCACCCAGGGGCCCCTCTATTTATATTTATACGAACCTCTGAAGCATTTAGAGTTTTTCCTATGACCTTATTTTGTGTTTTCTTTTGGTGATGGTTTTTCCCCTCCTCCCTTTCTTGTTTTGCATTTGAGTCAGGTTTCTTTTTTTCTGATTTATGTCTTTAATCTTCCTATTTTTTTGTGGTTACTTTTGACATTTTTACATGTATAGCTAATACACTAGATTTAATAAAGATATTTAGGCTTTCCCAAGTCATATAAGGACATAAACAGGCTTCCATCCTATTCTCTCTGCCCCATCTCAGCTTCCATGTTGTTAGGTTATAGAATTTTAATTCTACAGAAGCAAAGTAGTTTAAGCTGAGGAATCTGGAGACACAGAGTCTGGGTTTGGGCCCTAGAGCTTTTACTGACCAGCTGTGTGACGTTAGACAAATGACTTAAACTTTCTGTGTTTCTGTGACTTCAACATTAAGAGGGGGGTAATAATAATGGGGCGCCTGGGTGGCTTAGTTGGTTAAGCGTCCGACTTTCGCTTGGGTCATGATCTCGCGGTTCGTGGGTTCGAGCCCCGCGTCGGGCTCTGTGCTGACTGCCAGCTCAGATCCTGGAGCCTGTTTCAGAGTCTGTGTCTCCCTCTCTCTCTGACCCTCCCCTGCTCACGCTGTCTTTCTCTCTCTCTCCTAGAAATAAATAAAAAAAAAAAAAAGAGGGGGGTAATAATCATACCTACTTCTCAGGGCTGTTGAGAAGATTCAATGCGTAAGTTCTGTAAAGTTCTGAGAACTGTGTGCTTGGCTTATAATACATCTTCAAAGGTGGTTAGAGATCATCGTCATTATTTTACCCCATAAATTATAACCCATGTATATTATGTGTAATTTATGTATGTATGTGTATATATACATGTATACTGATGTAAACATACGTCGATTTATGGTCACTTCATATATATATATATATTTAAGTTTGTATATATGTTCTTACATACATAAATTTATTTATTATGAGAGAGAGAGAGTATGGGGGAGGGGCAGAGAGAGCGGGAGAGAGAGAATCCCAAGCAGGCTTCACACAGTCAGTGCAGAGCTGGATGCGGGGCTCAAACTCATGAACCATGAGATGAACCTCAGCCAAAATCAAGAATCTGTCACTTAACTAGTTGAGCCACCCAGATGCCGCAGCTTATGGCTACTTCTAAGATTTTTTTTGTCTCTGGTATTTTACGTCTTCCTTGGATGTACATAGCTAAAGAACTTTTATGTATGCCAATTGGGGTGCGCGCGCGCGCACACACACACACACACGAAGTGCCCATAAATTGATGGATGTTTACATCAGTATATATGCATATACACATACATAAATTACACATAATATACATGGGTTATAATTTATGGGGTAAAATAATGACTGATTCTTGAATCTAAGGATTCATCTATTTCACCAGCTCTGGAAAACTTCTAGCTCTGTCTTCCACATGTTGCCTCTCCCTGTTATGTCCAGTTCCCCCTTCAGAACTCCAGTTAGACATATATTAGGCTTTCTCATTAAACCTTCATCTTCACCACGTTTTCATATTTCCCTCATCATTTCCCCCTCTCTGTGCTGCATTCTAGTTAATTTCTTTAGTTATATCTTCCTGTTGACTATTTTTTCTTAGCTGCATCTAATCTACTATTTTCCCTGTTCCCTGATTTTGCTTTAAAAATTTTTCTTTTTACTGTTTACTTAGTTTTTGAGAGCAAGAGTGGGGAAGAGGGCAGAGAGAGAGAGAGAGAGAGAGAGAGAGAGAGAGAATCTGAAGCAGGCTCCAGGTTCTGAGCTGTCAACACAGAGACTGATGCTGGGCTCGGACCCACGAACTGTGAGAGCATGACCTGAGCTGAAGCTGGACGCTTAACCGACTGAGCCACCCAAGTGCCCCCACCCTGAATTTGCTTTTAAACATTCTGATGCTAATTTTCAAACTTAAAAGAAGAGAGAATAATTAAATGACTATATGTTGCACTCTTAATCCCACTTTGACAATTCTTCTGGCCAATCTTGTTCCACCTTTTCTCCCATGCAGCCATCTGCCTGCCCTGCAGTATTTCAAAGCCAATCCCAGACCCCTGATCATCCATCGAACTTATTTTTCAATTATTATATGTTTCATTTTCTGAGATCTCATTTGCGTCTTTTACTAATCTGTTCTTCCTGGGTAGTTTCTTTGTCTTTGCTTGTACCTTTTGTGTCTCGTGACTTGAAACATTAAATACATTTATTTCCTATTTTGTAACCAACCATTTGAATCCTTGCTATCTTTGGGGATTTGGTCCTCTGTTTGGGGTTTCTTCTCTCTCTTGATCATGGTAACTTACTTCTTTGTGTTTTAACTGTACACATAGAAATACATTTTCTGAAAAGAGATGTTAATTGCCCCGTGCCAGATACTCCAATGAATCTCCAGTAATGTAATCTTCCCAGCCTTGCAAGAAAATGTTATTCCTTTGGTTAGATGAAGAGACAAAAGCTCTGAGAGGTTAAACACTTGTCTGAAGCCACACTGTTCATTAATGGCAGAGCTGGTGTTTGAACCCAGGCCTGCCTCTCCGTACCCTTGCCCTCCCACAGTCCACCATGCATAGGGGAAACTGACACCCAGGTATGGATCCTTGAGTGCCTGACCTCCATTGACTTGGGGCTTCTGGGGATCTCTTCATGGGGTTTTACAGGGGCCCCCGAGGAGACGACGAGCCTTATGAAGGCCTCCTACACCCCAGAGGTGATTGAGAGATCTGTGAGGGATTTAGAGCACTGGCATGGCAGGAAGACGGATGATCTGGGTATGTGTGGGCCTGGGGTGAGGGAGGCGGGGTGTGTTGGCCCCAAGGTTCGGAGAGAAACCACAGCAACAGGTAGAGCTCTGGGGCGGGCCAGGCATGGATCACCGCTGGGCCCTGGGCACTCCAGAGATCCTCTGGGTGATCTGACCTGGCCCCTTCCTTGCTCTCTGCAGGAAGGTGGCACCAGAAAAATGCTATGAATGTGAACTTACAGAAAGCATTGGATGAGAAATACGGAGAGAAGCGCAAAAGCAGGGGCTCCAAGTACTAGATACGACTGAGAAGAGGTGCCCTCCACTCTGAGAAGTCGTTAACAATAAAGAAAGACACACATCTGAATGTTCTCTTTTTGATGCCTGCCCTTCATGTTGGGGTGGGGGCTGATGTGAGGTACTGGGGAGATCAGCTGGGGGAGGAGAGAAGCCCCGAGGGCCCAAACTCACCCTTGACCTTTCCCCTAGACACACACCCCTTCCCTCATAATTCCAGGGCAGGATGTGGGAGCTGAGAGGTGCCTGGCTCCTCCCCCATGCCCCGTGGGAGGGGCCTCACAGTGGACTCTGTGGGAACTTACCTTGCATGCCTTCCTTAGCTGAACTCCAATTATTTCCAGACACCCATCCCTCCCCCAGGAGCCCACGGACTTCAGAAGAATCAGGCATACTTTTCCTCCAATGCAGGGGTGGGTTTGATTGGTCTCAGGGTAATTCTTGCCCCAGTCCTTACACACACAAACTGATTGGTTCAGAAATGGGTGTATGACTCGGTTTGGGCCAATGAGATGTAAGGAGAGATATGAGTGTGTGGAGCCTTCTGGGAAATTCTTTTCTCTGCTGGGAGAGCTGGGGAGCATCCCTTTCTCTTGCTGTGTTGAGGGAGGAAGACGCAGGGCAGACCGCGGCTGGCAGACAGTCTGGGAGCAGAGGAATCACAATGTGGGTTGTCCGTGACCTCGCTGAGCCGCCCCATCCACCCTGCCAGGCGCACAGAGGCCGCCACCTCTGGGCTTCATATCATTGGAGTCTGGGCAACTTTGCATTGTTTAAAGCCAAAGTCATCCTTAACCAGTCATGATCCCCGGGAATTAGGTTCCCAGGGAAGAGACCCCCAGAGATGGGGTTCCAGGTTAGAGAGTCATGTCTACCAGCTGACCATGAAGGATTTTTTTTTTTTTTTAAACCTGGTGGGTCTCCAAGCAGACAGCACACCCCACCCCTCAGGTCACTGACGTGCACACTCTATTACTTGCCGTGTTATTATTTGCTGTGTTCCAAACCACCCTCAAACCTAGAGGCTTAAAACAACAATGATCATTTGTCTGCTTGTGACTGGGCACTTTGGCTCAGTGTGGCTCATTTCTGCCCTGCGTGACATCTGCAGTGAGGACGGCTGTTTCTCTCTCGTGCTTGGTACCTCAGCAAGGATGGCCGCCATAGCTGGGGGAGGGGGGGCCACTGTCCCTGTGGCTAGCTTCAGCTTCTTGACGTGGTGACTGCGTTTCAAGCAGCAGCCTTCCAAGAAGATAAGACTCTAAAGTGTAAGAGCCAATCACCTCTTGCACTGGCTTGTTAATGTCCCTGTGGTCAAAAGAACACATGGTCCAGCCCAGACTCATAATAGGAGACTGTGCAAGAGTATTACTATAGGCAGGAGGGGTTCAAGGGGATTCACCACAATAAAAATCTACCACAGAGATCACCCTGCTTTGGAAGAATAGAAAGCAGATCACTCCCAGGAGTTGGGAGGTGGGACCCCAAAAGGCAGAGACTTCTTTAAGATACGACTGGAACAGGATGCAGTACCAGAAGTGAATTTGCCTTGATTTCCTACTGATTGGGTACCTAATGATGTGCAAGGTGCTGACTTCAGCTCAACCTCTTTACTGGGTACCTAATTTCTACAAGGCACAGCTCTTGTGCTGGCAAAGCAGACTTCGTTTTTATTGAGTAGCTATTATGTGCTCATCACATGTGGTAGCTGGGAAAAACGGGCCACCCCGAGTGTTACAGCGATAGCAGACCCCATACTAGTCTGATATAGAGATTATAATATGCCAGGCGCACATGATGATAGGTCAAGTGCTTTACACATGACCTTCTTCCATCCTGGCACGAGCCCTCAGAGCTATCATCTTTATGACGATGGCTTCACATGGAGCTTGGAGAGGCTATGTGAATTGCCTGAGCTCAACAGGAAGCTGGGATTGGAAGTCCAGAAACTTCTGGCCAAAGCCGTCTTCTGCTCCCCCAGACAATCCTACTGTCAGGCCAACAAAGACATACTGAACACCATGAACACTCTACCTTGTTAGGCGTCAGGAGGGACAGTGACACAAATCTAATACAGTTCTTGTCCTCAAGGACCTTACAGTCTGACGTGGGAGATGCTGGTCTGGGGGCCTCATCTCTCCACCTGACCATCATGTGCTATGCACCTGCCCTCTGCCCAGCTCCGCCCAATGAACTGGGGGTTCAGAGATGAATAAGATGTAGTGCCCGTCCTCAAGGAGTCCAGAGTCTGGTGGACAGACAGACACATCGATATATAGACAGTTTTACACGTGCAGCAAGAAGCTCATACAGGGCAGAAGAAGCACAAAGGAGAGCTTGGGGGATGTGGCTGGTGGTCACAGAGGGCTTCACAGTGGAGGTAGCTCTTGAGTCCTGGCACATGAATAGGTACATTAAGGTGGCCTGGAAGAGCCACAGCGTTCGAGACAGAGGGCACATGTGACTAAAAACCCAGCACAGCGTACTTGGTCGCCCCTCCCACCCACCCCGGGTGTCTTGTTGACCTTGGACAGTAGGGCTCCCGAGGCAGGGCTCAGAAGCCAGATGGGAAAGGCAGACAGAGAAATCTGGGCCTGGATGGAGCTTCGCCCTGGGAGGGCCTCAGAGGGGAGACCCAGCCCCTTCCTGCGGAAGTGCAGTCTAGCCAGAACAGAAGGGTTAATAATGGCTGAGGAAGCCAAACCATAGAGTTGAGGAGATGCTCACTCTCCCAGTGATCAGAGAGACGTGTGCTAAAAGTCCCTGGGTTGGAAAACAGTAACAAGCAAGTGTAGGGGCGCCTGGGTTTCTCGGTTGGTTGAATGACCAACAGACACTTGATTCTGGCTCGGGGCATGATCCCAGGGTTGGGAGCTTGAACCCCGGGTTGGGGTCCATGCTGAGCATGGAGCCTGCTTAAGATTCTCTCTCTCTCTCTCTCTCTCTCTTTCTCTCTCTCTCTCCCCCCGCCCCTGCTCTTGTCTCCTGCTTGCACGCTTTCTCTCTCTCTTTCTCATAAATAGATAGATAGATAAAATTAAAAAGCAAATGTAGTGAGGCGGGACCTCTCATACACTCAATGAACTGTGAGTGCAGAACAGCAAGGAAGAATTTAGCAAAACTGAAGGTCTACCTTATAACCTAGAAACTCCATTTCTGTGGAGCCTGGAGAAACTTCTCCGTGGACACAAGGAGCCCATGCAAAGACGTGCATTGCTGTACTGTGCGCCCATGGACATTTGCCAGCAGGAGGATAGACCGATGGGGGGATCTATAGCAGGGGAAAGAAATGACTCCGGTTGCCATGCGCCAGCGTGGAAAGATCTCCCGGTATGTCCCCGTGGGGCTCGGCAATGACAGTCCGGAGAATGAGCCTATGAAATGCACCATTTCTGCAACCTTCGAAAGACACGCGCGGAACCGCTCCGTTGCTTATAGATGTGGTGAATGCAGGTGGGTCTGAAAGGGCGGTGGTTGAAGGTGGGTCGGGAGGGCGCTGTGATGTTCAGCGTCACATGGTATTTACTCAGTCTTTTCAGATGCTTCACTTTCTGGATAACTTAAAAATTTTTTTTTAAAATCTCTCAACACCGGAGATGAGGCTCGAATTCACAATCCCGAGCTCAAGAGTTGAGTGCTCTTCCAACTGAGCTGGCCAGGCGCCCCTGCTTTGCTTTCTGCAGTTGCAAGAGAGCTGCCAAAATGCCCTCCAAGAGAACCCATGTGCCACAAAGGGTGGGTGAGTCACGGAAGGCTGGGAGCTGATTTACAGGCAAGCTGGCAATTCCAGTTTCAACACAAGCGAGCTATTGTAGTAGATTTCATGACTTTGCCTCCGTTAAAGAGTTCACCTCAGATCATTAAGACCAACTCTTTTAAGTTAAACATGGAATATTCCGGAGACAGAGAAGCTGTAATACAGGCAACATAAAACATGTCTAGGGGTGCCTGGGCGGCTCAGTTGGTTAAGCGTCTGACTTTGGCTCAGGTCATGATCTCACGGTTCGTGGGTTCGAGCCCCATGTCGGGCTCTGTGCTGACAACTCAGAGCCTGGAGCCTGCATCAGATTCTATGTCTCCTCTCTCTCTGCCCCTTCCTTACTCGTGCTGTCTCTCTCTGTCTCAAAAATAAACAACAAAAAATTTTTAAAAACCATGCATAGGTTAAAAAAATTTTTTTTGACTTATTTTTTACTTAAGGCGTTTATCCCAGTCACGCTATTTCCAAAACTGCTCTCTGCTCTCCGAGCTCCTGAGGTCCCTGGAGGGTGGAATTCACAGTGATTAAGTTTCAAGGAGGTACGGGAACCAGGCCTTAAGTAGCATTAATTCACATGGTGGAAAGCTATTCAGCCTCTAATCCATGCCGTCTTATTTGCTCAGTGGGATTCAGAACCATCTTCATAATTTCTGATCTATCAAGTACAACCTTTTTTTAGGAGAACCTAAAAAAAGCAACTCCCGATGCTCTCTACCCCCGAGCCAGTCCAAGACCTCACAGAGCTATTTCCTTGGTCCAGCTCGCCCCCTCGTGGCAGTTTCTCTAAATTGCAAGCCGAGTACTTGGGCTTCATACATCCAGGACCTAGAGATGTTAAGTTCCATCTTTCTAATCATGCCTCGTCTGGCCCCACCCACAGCTCCATTTACAGATGAGGAACCTCAGGCCCCATTGAGTGAATACATGTCTAATCTGAAAGTGAACCGTCCGTGTGGCCAGCTTTGCAAATCTGAACTCTCTGAGGTGGTGCAGGGTGGCAGACAGAGCCTTTTCCCTTTCTGCCTCCGGGATTCATGGCCTGTGGGGTTAGGGAGAGCAACAGGGGCTGCGGCAAACGCAGAGGAAAATCCAAATGGGAGAAGAGACTTTGCATCCGTAGGTGATTCTCACACTGGGCTTGAGTCCCTGGGAAGCAGGACCTGGCGCAGTGCATAGCCCTCTTATGGGTGCCATAAATGCTCATCCCTTTCTTTCCATCAGGTCCGGTTTTAGGGAACACAGCAATGCGTTCCTAGGTGTTATGTAAAAAGTGTCCCATTGTCAAGTGAATTGGGGTTATGCTGGTTTAA